CGTTAGGAAACAAGACTTCAAGACCACGGCCACACAGCCCGGAAGACCCACACCAGCCACTAGTGGATTTCCTTGTGCAGGTGGTTGGCCACTGAATGATGGTCTAGATGGGCCAGGGGTCTGATCCAACAGATATCCGTAGGTGTCTTGTCAGATCACAAGCTGAACAAGAGCCCACAATATGTAAAAGCTGCCCCCCCCCAAAAAACACCAATACAGTCCTAAGCTGCATCAACAGAAGGAAAGTGTCAAGCTCAAAAGAAATAATTGCTCCGCTCTGTCCCACAAGAGTCAGACCACATGTAGAATTCTGTATCTGATTTTGGGCCCTGCACGTTAGGAAGGACCTTGACAAACTGGAACTTCGCTGGGGGAAGTAGCCATGAAGATCTGGGGCTTGGGGGGAAAAAAAACATTAGGAATGGTTGGAGGCTTTAATCTGAGAAAGAGAAGATGGGGGGACACCTGGTAGCTGTCTGTGAGTGTCTGAAAGGCTGCTGTGTACAAGACACGGAAGTTTTTTCAGAGTTGTTCCAAAGACATGACAAGAAACAATGAGGAATTTGGACATTAGGAAGAATATTTGAATGGCAAGAGCCATTTAAGTCTCCTTTGCTGGTGTTTAAACAGAGACAAGAAGACCTTCAGTTTGGGATGTTGTAGTAGTAGATCCCTGCCCTGGGCAGGGAGGTGGACTAGATCTTCTCCAAGGTCCTTTCAGCACTTGAAATTTGTGCTTCTCTTCAAAGAACAAGTCTCCTGCAAACTCTTCCTTGCTATTTAACTCAAGGGCTGGGAACTGTGTGGGAATTAGTCAAGTGACTCAAGGGCTGATTTGCAGGTCAGCTGAGGGAGGGATTATTATTTTCCCTTCTCCAAGCATTAACATGTAGCAAAAGGCCACGGACTCTTTAAGCCAATGTTCTTCCTTATTTTCACTGAACTGGAGGAAATCACAAAATACAAAGACCTGGAAACAGAAGTAGAATGACTATGGCAAAAGAAAGCAAAGATCGTAACCCTAGCAATAGGCACCTTGGGTGCAATCCCAGAACATCTGGAGCACCACTTGAAGACCGTCGGCATTGGGAAAACCGCCACCGGTCCACTGCAAAGGCCGCTTTACTTGGAACAGCTTCTATCCTGCGACGATCCCTTTGACGCCATCAAACAACAACATCTGGCTATCCCAGGTCCTTGGGAAGGACTCGATCAGTGGATGAAAACGCCAAATCCAGTCTAAGCATCTGGCTGACTGTGCGACCAACCCTAATAATGAGGTTCTCGCAACCCTGTCCCACATGTAATCTGCATCTGGACAGCCCACCTGCCTTCCCTTCCTTTCCCCACACCTTCTCATCCCAGGCCAACTCTTACATCAGTCTAGCCACTCCACTGCAAGTATTAAAGTTAAATAGCTCACAAAAGCTTGTGGCTTTTAATAACATTTGTTATTCTGAATATGTGCTGTCAGACTCTGATTTTTGATATAGTACTTTAGTAATTCTCCATGTTTCAGTATTTTTTTCATAAAGCTGTTCTATAATTTAATCAATTAGTTTTAGGTGTTCAGATATTTTATTATTTTACTTTTTGTATTTATAGTGTTTAGCAGTCTAAGCCATTTTATTTACTTCTGCGACTCTTCCAGAAAACGTTGTATAAAATGCTCACCCGTGACCATAATAAAGATACTGCTATTATTATCTTTCTTTATACAAATGCATTTGAGGATTAAAACATTGGCTATGGATGTTTCAAATTTTATCTCTCTGCTGGATAAAAGTATTTATGTATTTTCCTAATCTAGGCTGCGGCTTTGAAACAGAAAGGTATAACCAGACTCAATATTCATTCGTATAATTATCAAAATGCGCATGGCCTGTCATTGCACACCCAGCAGCATATTTCTTTGAAAAACAGTGAGACGAGTATCTTTGGATCGCAACAGGAAACTAAATCAACAGAAAAGGATACGGGACTTTGACATTTTAACTTCCATGCCCTGGACTTGCATTATTGTCGCATTGCAGTCTGCAATTGGGTTTTTAGTCCTGCTAATTTAAACTATACTGTTGGGTAACATATGAAATCCATATGAAGCATAGACAATGGTATTATCTTTATGTTTCCTACGGTTTGTAAAGGAAAAGGGGGAAAATATCTTCCAC